ATGCTCAGCCTTCATTTGGGTTTCAGTAATTCCTCTCGGTTATATTGTCCTTGATCAAGTCCTACCAGGCCTATTACACCCGCCTTGCCACCGATTTTGGATCATTTGTTGCTCCCTTGTTGCTGGATTTGTTAACACCACTTCCTTTTCCCCACCTCCCACTCTCCCATGTCCCCCGGGAACTGTTGGTTCATTTGTTTTCTCCTCCAGATTGTTTATACAGTGCATCTTATCTAGATAGCCCTGCAGAGATAATAATATGCACAAAAATGGCAGAGAAAAACAAAGCAACAAAAGAAAAAAAAAATGCCAAAAAAAAAAGAAGAAAAGCCTGTAATAGTTCAAGTCTGTTTGTTGACCTTTACAAGTGTTTTCCCGCGAGTTTGATGGAGTGCCATGTCCTGGCCCCAAAGTCTGTAACAGATGGAAATTGAGCTGCTATATGACCCAGCAATCCCTCCACTGGGCATATAACCAGAAGAGGCAAGAAACAAACCATGGGCAGACATCTGTGTTCCAATGTTCATCGCAGTGCAGTTCACAATTGCAAGTAGTTGGAAACAACCCAAATTTCCATCAACAGAGGAATGGATTAAGAACTGTGGTACATACATACAATGGAGTACTACACATTACTAAAAAGCATGAATGCATGTAGCACATTGCTGCATGGGAAGAACTGGAGGAAATTATGCAAAGTGAAGTAAGCCAAGAACAAAAGGACAAGTATAACATGAGTCCGCTGAGGTAAGCTCAAAAAATTCAAAAGGGGCATCAGGAAGAAGCTACTGAATACATACATTCCTCGGGTGAGGTCCAGGTAATATGACAGGGCCCAGACTAAACTCAGGGATACATATGGTAGCCAACTAAAAATGGAGTGGGGGAAGAAAAAAGAAATGGGTAGCGCGGGAACAGGGCACCAACCCACCCAAGGGGAGGGAATTGTTTATATCTCCACAGGGAAAGAGGGACCAGACTTCAACCTGGTGCTCCACGATGTGAATGCAACATACTGGCATGAAGCAGGGAACCAGTAGAGAGGTATGAGGGTTCAGCCCCAATCCCAACTATGTGGACAGCCCCTTCACCCCCCAGAAGAATTTATTTTAGAGGCCAGCCCTCAAGCTACAGCTCAGGGAAAGGGCCATGTCTGATCAGAGCTCACGGGAGCAAATGAAGGGGGAGGAAGAGAGTGGGGAGCACATCCTGGCCCTGAGGGCAATATCCCTGCTCAGAGCAGCCAAGGCACGGAGAGGACAATATGGCCGGCCCCATCATCAGACATGACACCCCTCACTGCTTGATAGCCCAACTAGAGACAACACTGGAGACACAGTGTGGGAATTGCGCCGGATCTGCCCCCACCACACCGAGGCAAAACACCAAGGGTGTGCAACAGAATAGCAAAAGGAGCAGAGCAAGGAAGTCCTTGAGAGAATACCAATCTCAGGTGACTTTTAAGTTGGTGGAATGGGAAAATGGGCCAATCCCTAAGTTAGAGTCCCCTACACCTTGTTTTCATTCTGTGGTTCGAAGAGCCCGACCATGCAATTTTACTTCATAACTGATGCTTTCCAGATGAGAGGCCATTAGTAAAAATTGGCATTAACAAATAAAATTTATCACTCAGCATTTGTTGTTTTCCTCAAAAACATTTTGCCGTTCTAACTCATATTTGCTGTCTAACTCATATTATGACTGGAGCCCTGGTCATATAGTGGTAACTCGTTGCAATGCTAAATGCAAGGTTGTTAGTTCAAAATCATCATCCACTCTTTGGGAATAAGAGGTGGCATGCTGATATATAGTTAACAACCAGCTTATTCCCCCCAATAAAAACGTATGGATAACTACACATATATTAGTTTATTTCTGATATAAAGAATGTGTAGCGAAGGAAAAAAAAAGCCTGGTTTTAGAAGAGGTGCAACTTTCTAAAGTAAAAGAAAACGACTCAAAGATTTCTCTTTCAAACCTCCTGAGTTAGAGAGAGAATTTATTCCTAAGGCAAGGTATATGTATTGCATCTCTAGAATTTTGAGGGATGGTCGGTATCTCCTTAAGACAGTGGAACGTTCTCACAAAGCTAGTGGCCATGATACACGTGGCCTTGGCCTGATCACTTGCTCTGCCTCAGATTGGTCGAGCCTGCCGGAGCAGAGAAGCAAAGCAGAAGAGCGCTCTTTCAAACTTGCTGTCTGGAGGTCCACAGAGGCAGCACACTTCCAGCGTAGCCATGGCGGTGAATGCTACAAAAACTGTTCGCAGCTGCTACCTCTAGAGCTTGTGGACAAATGAACAGGATCCAGAATTCACATTGTGATGAAGAGTGACAAGGAAATTGTTGGCACCCTTCTAGGTTTCGATGACGTTGTTAATATGGTATTGGAAGATGTCACTGAATTTGAAATCACACCAAAAGGAAGAAAAATAACTAAATTAGATCAGATTTTGCTAAATGGAAATAACATAACAATGCTGGTTCCTGGAGGAGAAGGACCTGAAGTATGAATGGATTTTCTTGACTTATGTTTGCTTCTGTTTTGTTTATAAAAGTCACAAGATGGATTTTTTTTAACTTTTTAATCTTGAGATACTATGATGCTAAGTTTCCCGTTAAAGGGAAATACTTTGAAGATGCACTGTAAATGCCCAATTTTTGTGAAAGATAATCATGATTATCTTGGGAGAACAAAGAGTTTACAGTTTGTTGTTTGAAGATGAAAATAAAGGTGTTTTTGGTTAAAAAAATGTGTAGCATATAAATTACAAAACTAATAAGACTTTATGTTATAGTATTATATTACTAATATTTGTAGTACTATATATACTAATATTATTAATATATACTATATACGAATCATTATAATACTAATATACTAATATCATAGTATAATAATAATAATAATAATACCCTTTATTGTAAATTTCATTAGTCAATTGATTCTCACAAAGAACTTTAATTTTATTTTACTTTTGTTTCATTCTTGTCTTTTTTTTAAAGTTTTATTGGTATGTAATTCACAATTCAGTAATTTAGTCATATTAGGAAGAGTTGTATAATCATCATGACAATCAATTTTAGAACATTTTCTTCATTCTTGTACTCTTCATTATTAGCTCCTCGTTTCTCCTCAACCTCCCCTGCCATACTCCCAAGGAACCATTAATTCAGTTAAATTCTCTATAGATTTTCCAATCCTGGCTATATAGAAGCTTATCTGTGGTTGCAATTGAATGGGTGTAGTTCCAACATGAATAATAGTTGATAGTTTCATTCGTGTCAATTAATAAGTCAAAAATGAAACTCAATCATGAAGACATGTTGGAGCTTCACCATCGTTTCAATGGTTTGAGTGATTCTGCCCTCCATGGGATGCTGTTGCTGTGTGTTGCCTGACTCACGGCAACCCGAAGTGACCGGCATGAGGGCCTCATCAGGTTTCTGAGGTTTTCATCTTCCCAGGAGCAGAGCACAAAGTCTTCTCTCCTTGGAACCATTGGGTTGGTTCGAACCAGAAAACCTTTCAGTTAATAGTCAAAGGCTGCACTATTATACCACTAGGACTAATGACTGAGTGGGATAATAGTTTCTGAATACTGGAAGAATATTTTTTCAATTTTCTGTGCTATTCAAAATATAATGACTGTATGTGGACCTGAAACAGATGTAATCTGTATTATTAACATGTTCTACAGTCTAGAAAATCAACAACGCAGTAAGTGCAGTCCTAACTCGGGGCCTTTTCAAATCTCCATGGTGTAAATATTCCCGCTGTGGCTGATTTTAGCCACCAGTGTGGTATCATGGATAGCAGAGTTGGTAAAACACTTATCATTTATTATTGTCATCACTTAGACTTAATAGTCGTAAATAACTTCAGGAGCATAGATACTTTTAAAGTGTGGCAAAATAATTAGGAAGTAATGAGTTTTGAGTGTTTATAACCATTTTAATATAATTGATTTAATTGTAATTTTTATAAGTTAATTTTTAATATGTTGTTTAACATCTAGCATGCAAAATTCCTAAATATTTTACCCAGTCTGAGCTGGTTCTAATGGGCTGCTAGAGACGCCACTGAATTAAGGGAAAACTGCTAATGACAACTCCCTAGGTGGTAACAAGAATTCATTTAGGATAGTTTAAGTGAAAATATTTTGACACATACACATGTGCTAAATATATACAATATAGTCTTATGGAAAATAATGATTTAGAGAGATCCTAATTTATCATTAGGTTTAAGATTGCTAATACATGAGTCTTATATCTATGATTTGTCAGGGGACAAAAGAGCAAGTCAAGCTAAAACAAAGATTTGAATTCTACTTGCTCAATGCCCATAGAGAATATTTGGTAGCAGAAATTTCATTAATAATTGAAAAGCACAAAATTAGACATTTTAAGAGTTCTGAAAACAATTTTAAGTTTTATTCAAAAAGTGTACCAACATTGTCATTTAAAATGGACAGAAGAGGTTAGGAAATTATCAAAGTATAACTTTGGGTTTGGGCAATATAATTATGCATCATTTAGCTGTCTCATTCTTTTGCTAAATTTGTTTTGTTGATTTACTATTATTTTGTGACATGTAACAATGATTCATATTTCTATAGCTCTTTAGCATGAAAAAATCTCTTCATTTACTAAAAAGATATTTGTTGAACAATTATGCAAGTGTTTGATTTTGTTGGTTTTAGGTACCATGGACTTAGTTCCCCCTCAGAGCGACCCTACACATAACAGCAGAAACAATAACAACAACAAAAACACTGCCTGGTCTACACCGTCCTCAAAAATGTTGTTAGTTTGAAGCCCCTGTGTCAATCCATACCATGCGGGGTTTTCCTCTTTTTCACTCTCCCATCCAAGGTCTTGTCTCTCCTGACAAAAGTGCCCAAAGCACATGAGACAACGCTTCCCCATCCTCCATTCTAAGGGATATCTGTTTGTTCTAAGGACAGCCCGTTGTTCTTTCAATAGTCTTCACAAATACCATAATTCAAATCCAACAGTTCTTATGTAGTCTTCCTTAATCATGATCTAACTTTACCATGTATGTGACACAATTAAAAATACCATGGTTTTGGTCAGTCTAATCTTTGCTTTTTAACACTTTTAAGAGTTCTTTTGCAACAGATATGTCCAATGCAGCATGCCATTTGATTTCTCCACTACTACATCCATGAACATTGTGAATCCAAATAAAAGCTTGGATAATTTCAATTTCCCTCTGTTTATCCTCAGTTGTGAAGATTTTTGCTCTATTTACATTGAGTTGCAATTCATTCTGAAGACTGCGGTCTTTGATCTTCATCAGCAAGTACTTCACATCCTTAATTTCAGGAAGCAAGGGTGTACCATCTGCACATTGAGGTTGTTAATAAGCCTTGCCCCAATCCTGATCCTGGATTTTCTTCATATACTCCAGCTTCTCTGATTATTTGCTCATCATATGGACTCAATAAATATCATGGACAGATACAATCCAAATGCACATTATTCTTCTGTTTTTAAATGATTCATTTTCTCCTTGTTTTGTTTGCATGCTTGCTTTTTTGTTTATTATGTACAGGTTCCATAAGAGTAAAATTAAGGGGTCTGGACTTTCCATTCTTCCCAATATTAGGCATTGTTTTCTGTAATCTACCCAGCCAAAGCCTTTGCATAGTCAGTAAATCCCAAGTAAACACCTTTGTGATATGTTTTCATTTTAGCCAAGATCCATCTGATATCAGCAATGATATTCCTCATACTATGGCCTCTTTAGAATCTGGCTTGAATAGCTGGTTGCTCACTGTTGATGCACTTTTGCAACCATTATTGGATGATCTTCAGCAAAGTCTTACTTTTAGGTGGCATCAATGATATTGTTAGATAAATTCCATATTCGGTTGGGCTCCTTTCTTTAGAATGGGCACGAACATGCATCTTTTCCAGTCAGTTGGCCAGTGCTACATCAGCTTGTTGAATCATTTTAATTGGTAAATGGTAAATTGAAGTAGCCTTGTGTTGCCTACTGTCTTCAGTGCAACCTGGACTTCTTCCTTCATTATCACTGGTTCTTCATCATGTACTCTCTCTTGAAATGGCTGAATGTACAGTGACTCTGTGTATTCCTTCCATCTTCTTTCTATGCTTCCGGCATGATTCACTGTTTTCCCTGGATAATATATATGAATATGAATATATATACATCCCAAACTAGACATTCTGAGTTCAAGTCAGTTCCAACTGGGAACAACCCTATAGGTTTCTGAGACTGTGGGACTTTTGAAGCTGGCAGACCGCCTCATCTTTCTCCCTCACAATGATTGCTGGGTGTATTTGACTTCCTGATCTTTTGGTTAGCAGATCAGCACTTACCTAATAGCACCACCATATTTCCATATATAAAATATATTAGACGCATATGTTAAATGTATAGTATCTATAATTATATATGATAATTATATCATATACAGTGATACCTTGAATGTCAAATGACTCTAACCTCCAGCATTTCACTACTCAAACAGCCAAGTGTAAAAACAAAAACATAAATAACAAAAAAACCCTACTCAGTGTTCATAACTCTGCTCAATTGTCTAACTGGTAATCCAACTTGAAAAAATGTGTATAGGCTGTGAGTGAGTAGTAACTCACCATGTCACATCTCATGTCTGAGTGTCACTAAGTGTCACATCTCACTGAGGACAAAAGGGGTGAGAGTTCAGTCTAAGTGTCACTATCAGCATAGAGTGTTTGTGTTACTGCATTAAAATATTTGTCATTGTGGCTTTTTTTGTGCTCTGTTTACGTAAAATATAACCATGGCCCCAAAGAAAGTAGTGGGTGAAGCTCAGAGGACAACTGTGAGAGCCAACATAGAGTTAAAGAAAGAAGGCATTGCAAACTATGAATCAGGTTGGCACTTGTTTGATATGGCGGTTGAAAACAACATGACTAAGTCAGGATTCTCAACATTTTGGGCAGGAAAATGTAATTAAAGTGGCTAATATACTAGTAAAAGTATGACATCATTATCCATGAAACAAAGGACCCAGATCATTGAAGAGGCTGAAACGTGGCTGTTAATGTGGATAAATCCCAAACAACTCAATGGTGATAGCAAATCCCAGACAATGATATGAAAGAAGGCTAAAAGCCCCCATAGTGAATTTATAAGTTAACTTTTGGTCTTCATGATTCATTATTTGGTTTTCCATTATTCCATATGGGGAAAATATATTTAGTTCTCAAGCTTTTCCATGTTTGGACATGAATTTGGAACAAATTAAGTTTGATAGCTGAGGTATCACTTTACATAACTAAAAACTAAACTCACTGTCATTGAATCAATGACGACTCATAGAAACCTTACAGATCAGGGGAGAACTGTTCCTGTGAGTTTCTAAGACTGTAACTCTTTACAGGAATAGAAAGACCCATTTTTCTCCAAAGGAGTCCCAAGTTGCAGCTGGAGGTTTTGAACTGCTGACCTTGTAGTTAACAGTCCAAGCTATCC